GGGGGTGGGGTGGGGGAATGGATGTGCACAGTATATTCGGGTACGCACAAGTAGATGAAGGTCGGAAGACAAGCTTGGGTGTCATTCCTCGGGGGCCTTTTGCCTTCTGTCCAAGGCAGGGTCTCTCATTGATCTAGACCTTCACCAAGTATAATTGGCTGTCTGGCCAGTGAGCTTCCAGAGATCTGCTTGTCTCTGCCTCACTCCTCAGTGTCTCTGGAGTGACAAGCAGGCTCACCAGCATGCCAGCGTTTTCTTTAATATTTATTGTGCATCTCTGTGTGCACATATAGACATAAGTGCAGTGCCTGCAGAGGCCAGAAGAGTGTGTCAGATCCCCTGAGCTAGAGTTCCAGGTAGTTGTGAAATGGTCAACGTGGAAGCTGGTCCTCCGAAAGGCCTCAGCTGCTAAGCCATCTCTCCAGGCTCTGTGTCTACTTGTTTGTTTGTTTGTTTGTTTGTTTGTTTGTTTTGCTGTTGTTATGTTTGACAGGGTTTCTCTGTCCTGGAACTCACTCGGTAGACCAGGGGGGCCTCGAACTCAAGGGGGATCCACCTGTGTCTGCCTCTGCCTCTAGAGTGCTGGAATTAAAGGCATGCACCTGCATCACCTAGCCTCATGCCCACTTTTTTTTTTTTTTTTTTTTTTTTTTTTTTTTTTTTTTTGTGGGTTCTGGTGTTCCAACTCAGTTCTTTACATTGTAGGGCAAGAAGTGCTTTAGCAACTGAGCTAGCTCTCCAGCCCTAGGGTGCCTTTTTTTTTCTTTCCAGAATGACTTAATTTAGACTTGGCAAATGTTACTCTATTCCTTTGTGTTTACCTTTTGATATTTGTTCCTGAGAAATGAAATCCACGTCTCCTTTGGATTCGCAGACCAAACACAAGGAGCACATCGGAAATCCATTCGTGATGCCTTGGCAACTCTCAGTGAAGCTTTGGACACTGGAGTGATTTGGGAAGAGTCCCATGACAGTCTGTGTTTCCTCTGCCGGGTGCAGAAAAGTCACAGAAGAAAAATTGAAGGAGGGAAGCGGGTAGGTGAGATTGGGTAATAAACACACTTCCCGGCAGGCGAGCTCTCGTGTTCTTTCTGCAAAGAAAGAAAAAAAGCTCTTGTTAGCTGTGGATTTCAAGGTTTTGACATTTAAATAAACACAAAGTAAGCTCATCGTTGTTCAGGGAGATGGTGGCCTGTCTCTGACAATGTTTTATTCTCACATGAATTAATATCTACTCCGTTGAATCATTTTTGTTTTAAAACTTGTTAATTTTCAGAGAGCAAACATTCATGTGCAGAAGTGACTAGAAACACCAGCATTTTAGACATCCTTTGTTCTGGAAAATTTTTAAGGATATGTGTGCATGTCCGCGTGCGTGTGTGTGTGCGTGCGCGCACGTGTGTGTGCGTGTGTGTGTGTGTGTGTGTGTGTGGTGTATGTCCATGGAGGCCAGAAGAATGCATAGGAGCCCCTGGAACAGTTGTAGGTACCTGACATGGGCACCAGGAACTGAATTTGGGTCCCCTGCAAGAGCAAGAGCAGTAAGCACTCTTAGACGTCCACCAATCTCTACAGCCCCTGGGGGGAAAAAAAAACTTAACAGATAAATCTTAAGTCTTTCTGAATCTATCTTTTTTTATAATAGTCAATTGCATGGTTCTGAAAGATAGCAAAATCTAGACAGTGGTTCTGTGTTTCCAAAGTCTGCTAGAAAGCAAAGTACCACAATCTTGGCCATTGAAAATTGTGGAGGCCCAAAAATGTGAGCCTATTTCCACCTTGACCAAAGGTCAGAGAGTTGGAACTTACCTCTTCTCCTTCAAGGTTATTGTGTTTCTACCTCAGACAAAGGTCCCACCTTGGTGCGGAGCAGAGAGTCTTGCTCTCTCAAGGTTACTATCCACAGGTGTGGCTAATAGCCAGACTTTTTATTTCAGAAACAGAGAAGT